CTCTGGTTCCTCTGTTAAACGTCCACCTGTGACTGTTTTCAAACGCTCCCTGAAGAAGTTTGACCCGGATGCCTTTCTCCACGACAATGCTGCTGTGAGCTGGGACAGAATTAACACTTTCTCTACTATGGATGCAGCCTGGTCCTACTTCAAGTCGACCTTTGGCCAGATCATCAATAAACATGCCCCACTCATAAAATTACGGATCAAGGATCGCTGCAGCCCCTGGTTTTCCCGAGATTTGGCTGCATTAATCCGCCAGAAGAACACCTTATGGCGGAAAGCCCGTTCCTCCAAGTCTCCTACTGATTGGCTTGCCTTTCGGCAATGTAGAAACAAATGCACTCAAGCCATCAGAAAAGCCAAAGTCACTCACTTCCTGGACAAATTTGCATCCTGCGGCTCTGACGCCAAGACATTCTGGAAAACAGTCAAATCCATGGAAAATAAGCTCCCCCCCACCCCCCATTTTCCCAGCGCAATGACTTTTGGTGACTCTGTTGTCACTGATAAGTCCCATATGGCCTCACTTCTCAACCAACACTTTGTCAATTCAGCTCACATCTCTTCTGTCAAACCCCCCACTGCTGCTTCATCACATTCACCTACATCTTCCAGCTCTGGGACCTTCTCCTTTAGACCCATCCTGGCCTCGGAAGTCTTAGAGGAGCTCACTAAGCTGGACTCTAACAAGTCGGCGGGCTCCGATGGGCTTGATCCCATGTTTTTAAAAGTTGCTGCTCCCGTCATTGCTGTCCCCATCTCGCGGCTATTCAACATGTCTCTAGAGCTGTCTGTCTTTCCTCCAGACTGGAAATCTGCACTGGTTTTCCTGCTCTTTAAAGGTGGCTCTGGCTCTGATCCCAACTGTTACAGACCTATTTCCATCCTGCCCTGCTTGGCCAAGGTCTTAGAAAAATTGGTTCACAACAGCTCAGTCACTTCATGGCCTCAAACAACATCCTGTCCGACCTGCAGTCTGGGTTCCGGCCAGGCCATGGGTGTACTACAGCCACTCTGAAGGTCCTGGATGACATTATCACTTCCCTGGACTCTAAGCAGATCTGCGTTGCTGCCTTCATTGATCTTACTAAGGCCTTTGATTCTGTCATCCATTCCATCCTCCTGCAGAAGCTTTCCAGCATTTGTCTGTCATCACACTCCTGTAATTGGTTCGCCAGCTACCTAAACAATCGAGTCCAGCAAGTTAAGACTGAAAACATCCTGTCTGACCCTCTCACCATCACTAAAGGGGTGCCTCAAGGCTCTATCCTAGGCCCAACGCTGTTCTCTATCTACATTAATGATGTAGCCAAGAATGCCGGCAACTCCAAGATCCACCTATATGCCGATGACACCATCTTATACTCAGTGGGCCCTTCTCTTCATTCTGCAGCAGCCACACTACAGCATAGTCTCTCTTCTATTGAGCAGCATTTCCACAGCCTTCATCTTCTCCTCAACACTAAGAAAACAAAATGTATCATTTTTGACCGGAAACATGACTCCACCACTGCCCCTAAAATCCTCTGTGCCGACGGCTCTGAACTCGAGTTTGTGACCTGTTACAAATATCTTGGCCTTTGGTTGGACTCGTCCCTCTCCTTCACCACCCACATTAAGCACTTACAGTCAAAAGTTAAAGCTCGTTTGAGCTTTCTATATCGCAACAAGGCCACCTTCACCCGTTTAGCCAGACACACACTTGTCAAAATGTCCATCCTGCCCATATTTGACTTTGGCGACACCATCTACAGGATGGCATCTCACTCTACCCTCAGTAAATTGGACCCTCTCCACCACTCTGCCATCCGTTTTGCCACAGGTGCACATTTCAGTACTCACCACTGTGACTTATACAACCTAGTAGACTGGACATCCCTCCACACCAGACAACTCAGCCATTGGCTTCAGCTCATTTACAAAACCATACTTGGTATGACACCTCCCTACCTCTCCTCCCTACTGCACCTCTCCCACTCAGCCCTCAATTTAAGGTCCAGTAAACTCATTAAACTCTCCATCCCCAAAGCCAGAACAGTCTTTGGAAGCAACACTTTCCGCTTTGCTGCAGCTAATGACTGGAACACCATTCAAAACAACCTCAAACTTACCGTCCTCACATCACTCACAGTCTTTAAACAAAATTTGCAACAAATTATAGTTGACTCTTGCACCTGTTGAGTAGGCCTACTTGTCATGTTTGTACTGTTTTTCACCTTTATTGTATTGTATTTATTAATTGTTTATTAATTGTTTATTGTGTATTTTATATAACTTTATTTTTTATTTTTAGCATCCACTCCCCCTCTCCCTCCAGAGAGCCTTTGCTCTTTGGTTCAGGCTGCATTTGTAAATAAGAATTTGTTCTTAATTGCTTGCCTGGGTAAATAAAGGTTAAATAAAATAAAAACACTGCCAGATCCTGGCCTCTTCGACTGCCACGTCTGGCCCATGTACTTGAAACACAAGAACATCACGTCATGCCTGATTTGAGTGTTGTCTTGAATGAAGTGTCATTATGTGATTTTAATGCAGCAATATGACTCCTCTCCTCAAACACTTTCAAATAGAGAATTTTCAAGACTGAATGATATATAACTAAAGATGGGCATTGAGGGCATAAAAATGGACAAAGGGCAACGAGCAGGGACGCTTAAAAACACTGTTATCAGCCTTCAAAGGTGGTGTCAGTTAAACCCTAAAAATGGGGAGATGGGAGGTTAATTGGGCTCTTGTCATCACATGCTAAATGGTCTTGTCATTGGCAAGCTAAAGGCGAAAAGAACAAAAGCCCTGGCAAAGTAAATTGTAGGGGAGCCGTTTCCATGGCTACACCATTGGTACATTATTGTTCTTGTCTCCAGGGTGTAAGTGAGGGTGGGGTTGGGGGGGTAGGGGGTAGAGAGACGGATTTTATGTGTTAATTATGGCACTGTTAATAACAGTATGTGATTCTAGTGAGGACTCAGTGCTGCAAACCCACGCACAAGAAGAGACAGGACACACATGCACAGATTCATATACACATATAAACATATCACATAACAACACACACACACTGTCATAAGACATAGACAAAGCTTACACGTCCACTCACACACTTCAACACACACACAAACCCTACAATTCATTGAAGGATAACACACACACACAAGCATACTTCAGTGTGCACACACATAACCACACTTACACAAGCCCAAACCACACACACTTGAGTACTGGAAATGCTCATACTCTGTTATGGTCTCTCCTCTCCATTATCAAACTGTGAGCACTGCTTTCAAAGACAAGACGAGCTGATTTGGTTTGCCACGATTGAGACCAACTATAGTTCTTCTACACAAACTGCTTTTCTGTGTCGTTATTGTGCCAGCACCTCTGGACACAAAATGAACAACAATAAATGAACTCACCAGAAGTTAAACAGTGGCTGAACTGTGTCTCGTGCTTGCCTCTCAATTAAAAAAGGCCCCCTTTACATCCTTTACAACTGACAAACATTACTGATATGTTTCCCATTCTCCATGATTCTGATCATCCACTGGCTTCCAGTTGTGTTTTGGATAAGCATGTTTTACCTGTTGTGAGCCCCATGGTAACACTATAAATTTATAATTCACACCAAAACAATCAAAATTGATTAATAGCACTACAGGTAAAATGAAAAATTATATTTCAGATTTTTGGGATGAACTGTCCCTTTAAGTCACACTTGACTCTCTAGGGGTGCCTTGATGGTTTTGGGTTAAAGGGCAGCAACCATAAACCGCAACATCCCCAGTTTGGGTCCTTCATGCAGGAATTAAACATCTGCGTCCCATCGACATTGTGCCTGGCGTAGGCTCTGTGTGTTGACCTACGCTTTAACCTGATGTGTACCTCCCCAGAAATGTCACTACATGTTGCGGCAACGCACACCTCCTGTGTATTTTTGTAAGATGAAATCATTTCAAACAAAGCTTAGGCTATTTACTATTATTTCACACTTAGGAAACAATTTATTGTGAGGACAATAAAGCCTCCACAAAACAGCATTTCAAGTCTTGTGCGATTTATCCTTCCGGGATTATACTTTGTTATTTATCCTGGCTTCATAGTAGAGGAATGCTCCGCTCATTGCTATATTGTTCAGTATAAGACAGTTGTTTTGTCGGTGAACCTTGTGAATTGTGATGGAGCTGCATTTTATAATGTGACCTTTGTTAAATGTTGCTGTTGTCCCTGGCTTCATATGAGCAGAGGAAAAGTCAGCTAGCAGCTCGGCTAATTCATACAATGTAAAATGCCTTAGGCTTGTGCTAAAAACATTAGCATGTTGTATTTGTTGGGGAACTTGTGTCCAGCAAAGGACAAGTGCTTTGTCTGTGAATGCTGTGTTAGTTAGTTAGTGAAGCCAATTTGTGTACTTGTGTTTGAAATTGTCGCTTTTAAGCCATGTTTGTTGTGTGTTTTGGGTGTGTTTTGAATCAATCAAATTTTTCAGCACTCCACAGAAACCCCATCGCAGACTAGTGGTTTGTAGGTGTAACTGCAGAGTGACACAGACACACCACTGCAAAAGTATAAATGCTCACAACGGAGTAGACCACATATGTAGGCTATGGCGTAGGCTCTGCATAGAATTGACACACAAGTATAAATCCGCTGTTTTGTTGACTTACAAATAAAAGTGTAAAATATCCCATGATACTGACTTGGTCTGTCAAAATGACAGACCAAGTCAAAGACTTCTAAAATTCTGACCTTTAAGTGGGGCCACATCTGTTTTACTTCTCCTTCCTGGCCCAAATGTGCTTTCACAGGACCTTTATACAACATATAGTAAATCTCTTTTCCCCCCAACACAACCAGCTTGTTCTTCAGTGATTACAATGCAATACTCCTGCTGACTCTATCACATCCTCTTCTTTGAGCTATCCATAAATGTAAACAGATGCCAGATGAGCAGCTAAGGAGATGTAAGACATAAAAATCTGAATACTATAAATATGTCTTACCTGCAGTTATAGCTGGGGCTCCAGTTAGCTCTCCATTGAATCCATTCTCCCTGGCCGAGTAGGGGCCTGTGGCCATGTGCGCCCCACCAGGCTGGCAGGTCCTGTAGGCGGAGGAAGAGTAGCCATTGGCTCCATGGGTGCCTGTAGGCTCCTGCCCCCCTGATGGGTCCCACTGGGGGGCACCATCTTCTGGCTGTCGACTGTCTGCCATGCTGGTGCAAGCTAGCAGCAGGGGAGGGTGGGCAAGGGGTGGGGTCTCTCCTTCTGGCTTCTGGCTGAGAGACATTAAGGGATTGAGAAGGGAGGAGTGAAGGCGAGGCATGGTCAAAACTCAGCATGTCAGTGTTATTAACTGCAATGTTAGCAAGGTTTCATAAAGGAGAATGAACAGTGTGCAGACCAGAGAAGGCTCTAGGACACGCTGCATCAGTCACATTCACAAATCTCTTTTTGTCAGTCATAATCCCTGCTGCAGCTTCACCGAGCTTCACTGTCAACAATTCTGAAAGGGCATCTGTGCTTGTGCGAGTTTGTGTGTAGGTGGTTGTGTGAAATATTGTCCTTGGCTGTTAGCGGGCAGGTGACAGCCACTGGATTAAACTCTATTGATTTGTGTGTGTGTAGTGACTCATATAGCCAGTGGCCCAGGTGGAAATCACTACTGGAAAATGAACAGAGCACAGCTTGAATTTGTGTGACTCATGCAAGGTTGTGGGGATGTGGGGAGGGCTCTGATCAATCTAACAAGATCCAGTTCAGCGTTGGACAAATTGTTTGACTCAGGTAGCCTTTGCAGTGTAATTCTATCAAAAAATCTAACAGAGACTACTCCAAATTCAGAACCTTTAAACACTTGGAATGGATGATGATCTGTACAACAGGTATTTCTAGTGACGACCAGAACCTTACATGTACATGAAATCCCATGCAGAGACCAGATGATTGATCAGTACAGCATAGAGACGAGATCAAGCAGAAGCAAAAGGGGGGAAGTATTGATCAACCCACAAAACCGCCCGGGGCATGAACAGGCAGTGAGATTCAATGATCTCTTGGACGATATTGGGTAGAAGGTGGGGGAAACAGATGAATGGGTTTTAATGTAGCATAAGATCAATACAAAAGGTTGTGTACGTGAAGTCCTTTACTCAGGCTCTGCTTCTCTTCTGTGGAAAATTAAGTTAGCTGGATGAGTCTGTTGACCATTTTGATTATATCTTATTTTTTATTGACTGTACATTGTTCCACTTTCTTCCAATATATTGACACATCAGATATCAGCACATTTATCTGAGGCAGTGTTGGCTTTCAAACAGAAATTAATGTGGCTTTGGCGTGAAAGGACAGAAACAGAGACAAAGGGCTGAGAGAGAAAAAGACAATTGTGAACCCCCGTGCAGACCACAAGAAAGGAAATGCTTTAAAATGGAATTCATGATTTGTGCAAGAGGGCTGTGGCCGGTGGTACTTGAAGCAGTTGCTGAGCAGCCTGTGTAGTTGTGCATAAGGGGATGTGTGAAGGAGCAATTTGTCATTTAGCTCTGCAGTCCACAGAGACTCAGAGACTGAAGGGAAGTCTGCTGGAGAAAACAGGAGTCAATAACTGGAACCAAGGTACTGCTACAGTGAGCACTACGCACTGTATTCACAATGCGTTAAATACAACCGCTTACTGTCAGCACACTGAGGGCAAAGAACAGAATGAAATAGAAAAAAATGCCTGATATTTGTGAGAATTGTGAACTCATTCCACTCCAGGTCCATTTTCATTGTAACATTGCATCCACCGATACCTGTGGGGGAGGGGAGTTTGAGTTTCCTTAACCAATCACTAGAGACCCACGTATCTGCCTGCATCTAACGTCATTTTGAGTCCACACTGATGCATAGCCATGCCAACATACCTGTTTTGTTAGGGTTTTAAAAGTAAAAACAAACTATTATGTCTGGCGATACTGAGAACCATGTCGATTAGAACAGCCTCAATAGCAGTGTCTATCTTGTCTATAGCGCTCAGTGTTGTTGTCATTACTCCTCATTGGTTCTGGTGCACTGCTTAACAACACATGACAACAGTTTAACAATGGCTTTAGTCTGGCCCATGGTACTGATTGGCTTATCTTTAGCACCACCGTGGCAATCACTGCATCATTTTTGTTTTAAACAAGAAACCTCTGTTTCCTGTCATGATGCCAAACAAATCAGTCATCTTAGTTGAGTGAGCAGTTTCCAACGTCCGGACCCAGGCAAAAAAGAAATGAATGTGAACCAAAGAAAATATATCCACATTTTTTGTGTTTGGGAGCAAAATAAACACAAATAGTTTGAAAAATTAGATTACGGTTGATCCTTTGTATATCTATTGTCAAAATAACCAATTCATTACCTATGCAAAGTGCAGCTGAGGCTGATGGGAGTGTTATTAGGTTTGCAATTACAGCCATAAAGCAAAGTATTGGTCAAATTGCTGGCACAAAATGAAGAGTCTGGGGATCATTAAAATTGTTAAAATTCATCTTTTGGGGATTATGAATGTCTTTTCCAAATGCATTTGATTGTTGTTAAGATATTTCAATTAAAACCAAAATCATCAACTTCATTAATTCCGGCGATCACCATGGAGATCCACCCAGTAATTGTTGAGATGTTTCAGTCAGGACCAAAGTAACAGACCAACTGACCCAAAGAATAACACTGCCATCCCTCGAGCCATTCTGTTTTCCATAGAGTCATGCTGTTGTCAGCCACACTAGGGGTGAAAACAGACAAAGCCTGAACAAAGAGCTCAAAGCTGAAAAAAAGCAGGTTGTTGCTAAAGCAGGAAGATAACATATGACAATAGTAGAAGCTGAAGGTCGTACGTCATCCTCCAAGCTGCCTCTTTGTGTTGGAGTGACAAAACCGATGAAGTCGTTGTGAGCTAGTTTGTCAACTTATCTTGCATTTTGGCTACAGTGCAGACATGATGGATGCAGACCGTTCGGGGTGTGGATGCGCCTTTCTTTTCTGGCTACACCTGCAGAGCACATACAGTGCCGGGTTGTGTGAGCCATGGGCAAAACAAGACAGTGAGCTTTTGTTTTGGGATTGTGTGGGATTGTTCTTTCAGTTTTTGGACCCAGGACAGCACTGTGAAACTTCTTCACTGAGATTGTGTAAAATAGGTAAATAAACATTGACAGACTAGAGTAGGCTATGTAAGGGATAAAGATCCTACGCAAGCGCTAGGTAGTAATGTACTGGCAAAACAAATGCTGACAGCATGACAAAGACCTCTAGGTGGAAGCTCTGTTTGAAACAAATTAATAAATTATATATTGACAGGAAATATCAATTTAGAATTTGGTATTTCATTAACTTATAGGTGTTACGGAAACTAGCAAACAAACTAATTTCTCACATCAACTATCAATTAAAAACTTACACTAATTGAGCATAGCGTTAGTTCAGGCAGGACACGATTTCAAGCTCAGCTGTTCCTGACTGAAAGCTTTTTTAAGTTTTAAGTTTATAAGTTTATTTACTTTACTAATCCCCCTGAGGGGAAATTCAATGTTTTCACTCTTGCTTGTCAATTACACACAGGTCCGAAAGACACACACATGCACAAACAGGACCTATACATGCACAAAGTGGAGAGATGTCAGAGTGGGGGGGCTGTCCTTGGTGAGGCTCCCCGAGCGGTTGGGGGGTTCGGTGCCTTGCTCAAGGGCACCTCGGCAGTGCCCAGAAGGTGAATTGGCACCTCTCCAGCCACCAGTCCACGCTCCATATTTGGTCCGGATGGGGACTTGAACAGGCGACCCTTCGGTTCCCAACCCAACACTGAGCTACTGCCGTCCTGTAATCCCTGACATTCTGATTAGTAACTGCAATTTAATTACATACTCTTTCTCAATAACTTTATCAGATAATTTAATTTGCCTGCGTTACTCCATTACATGTCCTTTATTAGCCTTGATAATTTCCATGCCATTGCTCTGGCATGGATGCTAAAACAGTGCTCTGGTTGTCATGGAAATGGATTGTGTCCAACAATTAACCACAAAATGACAAACAAAACAAAAAATATAGAGTCACACTGGCTGGAGTGGGGCTTTAAAAAATGTTTCAATACTATTAATGTAATTAATAGTGCTATGTAACAACCAGTTTAATCTATTTCTAAAAAAACGGATTTGGAAAATGTCGGGTGGTGATGTAAGTGAAGGGCTGCATGAGCTCAGCTGACAGATCTGTGGGGTTACATCACAAAAAAGGTTGAGAACCACTGCAATAGAATACCACAAGGAAAAAGCATAGAAGAGCAGAATAGAATTAACCAGATGGAAAGAATAGAATAGACCCAAGCAGAATATGTGACGGCTGTAAGCCCCTTGCAGCCTAAATGGATCAGAGTCAGGAGTCAATGGAGCTTTGCATGACTCAGCTCTGAAGGGAACATCAGTGTGAATGAAGCCTCTACAGAGACCACAGCACACAACACCACACGGTCTCCTCATAAAAATGCTCACCCTCTGTCTCTGTCCAGAAGCCACAGCTGTATATTATGTAGCACACCTTAATTGTCGATGTCCCTTCTGCCTCTTGTTCCATCACTGTGTCCCTTATCGAGCCTCTGTTGAAGAGCACTCTCAATATTAACAGAGTCATAAAAAACAGAGATGAGACTGCTGTCCTAATGCTGTCTCATTGCTGTCTGTCTGATAATGAAGGTCACTTTGAGCTCTGTGGCTGATTTCCAGACCCTACAAGATCATCCTGACTGGTGGCCAGGCTGGGGGTGTCAGTGGTGGTTCATAAAGGGGGGAGCGGCTTGGCCTCCCGGGGGCCTGGAGAGCTGCTGTTTGCAGCACTGTTTATGGTTTGAATGTTTGTGAGCGAGGACGTGCAGCATGTGTGAATGAAACAGCACCACCTGCCGGGTTAAAGCCTGAAAGAAGACAAGTGGGGCCATTACAGAGCATTATGAAAACTCAGCATGCTGGGTTTGGAGATTAGAGAGGCATTAGGAAACATTATCACGTGAAACTGCCTTTCCCATCAGCCTGAAACACAAACTGGGGCTGCAGTGCAGTACATTGTCTCACCCCTGCTAATTAACATGCCATGTATTTACACCATATTCAAAAACAAAGCACTGGTGTAGGGTACAGTGTAAAAATGTGAAAATGACGAGCAGAGAGTGCTGAGGGAACTTAGTGAGGAGAGAAGTGGAGACGGCTGATAACAGAGCAGAGGAGAGGAAAGAAAGAAGTGTCTTGTCAAGATCATT